GCTTACCCTGGTGAGCCGCATGCCAAAGGTTGCCGATCCCTGCATTATAAGCTTGGAAGAAATGTGTGATTTGGTTACTTGGGAACAATTCCTGAATATGTGTAGTGATGATGTAAAACAGTATTTGTGGGACAAAAAGGTGGATGCAGTGGGTGGATTGGCTGAGTTTGCAACTCTTTTGAGAAGTCACAAGCTGCAATTAAACATAAACCACTGGCAGAGGGGTACAGGGTTGATGGAAAGCAGAATCACCATTTTACCCCTGGGGGAAAAAGGAGGCTGGGCGTTCACCTCCCCATTCCCCTGTTACTCATTCCAATTCTCCTGTACAAGCAGAGAAGTCCAAGAGGTGCTATAATTGTAAATCCACTGACCACCTGAGGAATAAATCTCCTTGGCTGAATCGGAACAGGCAGCAGGTAACACATGAAGCTGCTGCTTCTCAGAGCCAGGCTGCTGCCTCTTTCCACACAGGATTTGTAAAGTTTGCTTCTACACAACCAAGCAGTGAGCATATGCATGCTGTTAAACTTAATGGGAAAGTACTCCTGGGATTGAGGGACACTGGTGCAGAGATTTCTGTGGTCAGGAGGGACCTGGTCCATGAGAAGGATTTGTTGCCAGGGAAAATGGCAGAATTAGAACTGGTGGCAGGTTACAAAGTCCTTGCACCTTTAGCTAAGGTACACATGTGATCCAACCCATCACAACATTACCCATGGGTCACCGTGCCCCAGCTAAAGTACCCCATGATACGTTACCCAAGGGCACTGTGCCCCAGGTAAGGCACCCCATGGTACGTTAACCAGGGGTTACCATTGTGACGTTGCACTCCATATGTTCTATGGAAATTTGCTAATGAGTGTGAATATAATGTAACTGGAATATGCTTTAGGCAAAAGGTCTCTTGTAAGGTATCATTACAAAGCTTATAATCTACTGAGTGTGTTCATCCTATTTGTACGAATGTATCATTCTTGTATCTGAAACTAGGAATATGAAATATAACTCTGGGGTCCTACTGTAATTATGCAAAGTGTGGGCCATTAATGGTGGCTTGGAATCTGGATGGCACTCATTGACTAGGACAATTGCCTGTAAATGGCTCTGTTTACTTGCAAACCTTCCTGGGTGTGTGTGGTCCAGCCCTGGAAGAATGGAGGCAGGAGTCTCACAGGACATGTGATCATGTCACTTGATACTGGAATCCATGTTAAACCTGGTGCTTTTCCATTTAGAAGGATGGGTGGGGATCCAGAGAGACAAGATTCTCACCTTGTGCCAAAGCTATAAAAGGGGGTGGAACAGAACAAATGGGACTGCCAGTCATGAAAAATCCCTGAGTTAACACCTGAGCTGGAACTAACAAGGACTGTACCAGGGGAAATGATTGGGCCCAGACTAGGAAGAAATCTAGCCTGTGAAAGAAGCTTATGGGAACATCTCTGAGGGTGAGATTTTACCTGTAAACAGTTTCTTAATGTATTAGGCTTAGACTTGTGTGTTTTTGTTTTATTTTGCTTGGTAACTTACTTTGTTCTGTCTGTTATTACTTGAAACCACTTAAATCCTACTTTTTATACTTAATAAAATCACGTTTGTTTATTAACAAACCCAGAGTAAGTGATTAATACCTGTTCATAGCTCTCTACCAGTGTTAGAGGGTGTACAATTTATGAGTTTACCCTGTATAAGCTTTACACAGAGTAAAACTGATTTATTTGGGGTTTGGATCCCATTGGGAGCTGGGTGTCTGGGTGCTGGAGAGAGGTGACCTGCTGAGCAGTTTTTGGTTAAAGTCTGCAGCTTTGGGGGCGTGGACCAGACCTGGGTCTGTGTTGCAGCAGGTTAGCATGTCTGGCTCAACAAGGCAGGGTTTTGGAGTCCCAAGCTGGCAGGGAAAACGGACTCAGAAGTAAATTCAGCACGTCAGGTGACAGTCCCAAGGGGGTCTCTGTGACTGAACCCGTCACAACCGTGTCCCAGGTGAGCTGCCCCATGGTACGTTACCCAGAGGTTGTGGTGCCCCGTGTAAGGCACCCCATGATATGTTACCCAGGTATTGCCACACCTCGGTTAAGGTGCCCATGGTACGTTACCCAGGGGTCATCACGCGTAGGTGTCCCTCACCTCACCCCCTCAGAGGGAGGCCACTCAGGTTGGCCTAGTCTGGTCAGGACCAGGGTTTGCGAGTTAGCCGGGAGCCCACAATAGGGCTGGGCGACCAACCGTCACTACCAGGCTTTGGCCTGGGCTGGGGTAGCTCAAGTAGTCCGCCCGTCAACACAGTCTATCGGGGTAGCCCCGGCCCAAGTCAGGCCCAAGCAGCCAACAACCAAACAGTCTTTAAGTGCTGGCTCTGACCTGGGTGGAGCCCAGGCAGAGCCCAGGCAGACAGCGAGCAAACAGTCTTCACAGGGCTGGCTCTCGCCGGAGTAGAGCTCAGGCAGCCAGCAAACAAACAGACCTTACAGGGCTGGTTTAAGCCTGGGCGGGGCCCAGGTAGCCAGCAAACAGTCTTTCCAGGTGAGAGATAAGGGGGCTCCTGTCCTGGGCTAGAGCCTCCTTGCATCGTGTAGGGGGTCAGCCACCTGGGGTGGGGTAGCAGGGGGACACGGGCCCACTTTACTCCACCATCTCCCAGCCCAGGGCCCTGGCAGGGGCAGGATTGGCTGCCCCTGCATCGGCAGGGATCCAGCCGCAACACGCCAACTGAGCCACGCCGGGCTCTGCAGCCGGCTGTTCCGTGGCTGCCCCTGGGCTATTTCTTGCCTCCCCAGGGCTTGGTAGCTGCGGCCTGCAGGCCTCTTCCAGCTCTTCAGGGTACTCTGGGCCATACAGCAGGTACTCCGGGCCATCTGGAAATCATGAACAGCCAGGCACATGTTCCTCTCGGGAGAACAGGCCGAGCGTCCTCCTCCTTCGCTGGCTCTCCCCCAACTGTGCTGCAAGGCCAGCCTTTTATACTTCCGGCCACGCCCCGGTACTTCCGGCGAGAGGGATGGGGAGATCTAGGCTCCTCCCTCCAAGGGGCGTGTAAGCGTCCCTCTCTCTCCCACTCAGAGGGAGGCCACTCAGCCTCGCTACAGGGCCCCATGGTACGTTGCCCAGGGGTCACCATGCCCGGGGTTAGGTGCCCCATGGTACATTACCCAGGGGTCGCCGTGTCCCAGGTAAGGCGCTGCATGGTACCTAAACTATGGGGCACTGTGCCCCTGGTGAGGTGCCCCATGGTATGTTACCCAGGGGTCAGTATGCCCTGCGTAAGGCATCCCATGCTACGTTACCCAGGGGTTGCCATGCCCTGGGTAATGGGCCTCATGGTACCTTACCGAGGAGTCGCCATGCGCTGTCTAAGGCACCCTATGGTATATTACCTAGGGGTCACTGTGCCGTGGGTAAGGGTAAGGGTACATTACCCATGTATCGCTGTGCACTGAGTAAGGCGCATCATGGTACTTTACCCAGGGGTTGCCGTGCCCTTCGTAAGGCGCCCCATAGTATGTTAACCAGGGGTCACCATGCCCTGGGTAAGGGGCCCTATGGTATGTTACCCAGGGTTCGCCGTGCCCTGGGTAAGGCGCCCATGGTACGTTATCCTCAATGCTACCTGTTTGCCTCATTTCTATTGCAAATGTGTCTAGTTGCAGTTTGCAGACCAGTAGGCTCCTCTCTCACTGAGGCTGGAGGCTGCAGCTCTCACCTTCTCCTGTTTCAGCCATGCCAGGTCCTCCTCATGGGCCTTCTTCTGGTTCTTCAGAGACAGCTGAGTCTCTTGTTCCATCTGCGCCAGCTGCTGCTTCAGTGACTCTATATCCCGCCTCCGGGTGGTGTCCTGCAGCTCCAGCTCCTGCTGGGCCTTCTCCACCTCCACTGTGGACCAAAGAAACCCTTGTGAGGCTCCCAAAGGTCCTGCTTGCGTAAAGCGCACTCAGGTGTGCAATGCGGGCATTACTCTCTGCTGCAGGCCATGGGGCCTGAGGCTCCATGATACCACAAGGCAAGGGACATGGGCATAGCTCCACTTGGGCTGGGGGTACTGAGCTGAGGAGCTGAAGCCATAGACAGAAGGGAAGTGGGGATTGGCAGTAGCACATACACTTTACCTTGGAGCACCTGCCTTGTCTGGTCAAGGCTCTGATTCTCCCCTTCCAGCTGTTCCTTCTTGACTTCCAGCTGTGCTGCTAGCTCCTGCATCTCAAAAAGGCTGATCTCCAGTGAGTCCTTCTCAGCTCTGTGGCACAGCAGCAAAGAATTAGGGCCAATGATGGAGGCTATCACTTCCCCGACCTCCAGTGAATTAGTTGGGGCTTTGATTGTGGGAGGAACCTTTGTCTATGCTGAGCCCTGAGGCCTTTATGGCTCAGCTATGAGCCATGCAGCACTGTCCCAGCCACAGCTTGAACGCTGTGTGTGCCCTGTATGAACATCTGCTGCACACAGGCTCCTTGGGGCCTCTCTCCTGTTCTCCATTTGCCAGATGTGTTCCCAGCAGCAGGCCCTGTGGAGCTGCCCCCTGAGAGCAATTCCACATGAGCGTGGCCGAGCCTGGCTGTCACACATGTGATGGCTGTGTCAGCGTGTCTGGGCAGAACAAGGGCACGGGACTGGCTCTCCTCGCCCAGAGACCATGGTCGAGGAGCAGAACTCCACTTCCTCCTGCGCAAGTGAGGCTTCATTTCCACCAAGGTGTGCAGAGGAGAACCAGGACTGTGAAGCATTAACAATCCTTTCATCAAACTACCTAGGGAGCTGGAGCGAGGCCTCTGCATGGTGAATGACTGCCTAGGCCAGCTGGCACTGCGTCCCCGCCAGCCCAAGGGAGTGTGGGCATCATGTCTCCCCACACAGGTTGGTAGTGGCTGAGAACAGCTACCCTCCCAGCTGTCCACTGACTGTGTGGGCTTAGCTGGAAACTCCCTCCCTTGCTCTGCAGTGCTGCTGGGTACCAGTTGCCCTCCTGTGCCCCTCAGCAGGAGGGAGAGGAGTGAATGCAGCAGCAGGGAAGGGGAGCGTGTTGGGCAGAAGCGGAGCTCCTGGCATTCATCCGTCGGGAATGGCCCCTTCTGGTCCATCTCCATTACTGATCTGGGCTGTTCCCAGCCTCATACCAGCAGGTAGCACTGGGAGCAGCAGAGCAAGAAGCTCCTGGCACAGAGAAGAGACCTTCTCTCCCCTGCCACGGCACCCCTTAGTAGCCCTCCCCCGCAAAATAAGAGACTAGCCAGCCTCCAGGTGATACCCACAGGACTCTGCCAGTCTCCCAGGATCTGAAGAGCAAGGAGGGGGTACCTGAGCATGTCTGTCTCTTCCAGCAGGCCCTTCCTCTGCCTCTCCAGTACATTGAACTCCACAGCCAGCTGTGCCTTCTCCTTAGCGAGCTCCTCCTTCTCCTGGGCGGTGCGGAGCAGGGCGTCGGCCTGAATCTCCAGCTCTTGGTGTCTGTGTGCCAGCTGCTCACTCAGAGTGTGCTGCTGGCTGCTCGCCTTGGAAGAGCGAGGAAAGGAAAGTGAGCAAAGCTAGAGAGCAAAGGGTGTGACTGGGCCCTCCATGCTCCCAGAGTCCGTTTTGCTGGCTACCCCTACTGCAGGCAGCAGAGAGGGAGGGAGAGAGATGCCCATGGGAGGGCTACTCCCCCTCGGCCCCTCCCCATCTCACCAGCCAGGCACACCAGGGCAGTATTCTGCGCCAGGGATACAGGTGGGGTAGGTCATTTCTCCCACACAGCAACTTGGGGGGAGGGAGGGGGGGGGGGATTTGCTCTCTGCATCCCCATCTTGTTCCCAGTCTGCTCCTGTGGCTCCCAGTTGCTCCAGGAACCAGCTGCTGACAGCAAAGCCGCCACAAGCGAGGAATGGAGAAGAGCAGGCATGGGGGAGGAAGACCTTTGCCACAAAGGGAAGACTGGCTCTTGCCCAGCAGTGTGCAGGGAGGGAGCGTTATCTGGGGCAGATCCCCACGTGGGCCTGCTCTCACCTGCGTCAGGTGATCCTGCAGCTGGGCTTTTTCCCTGCGCAGCAACCTCATCTCTTCCCCCAGTGCCTCCTGCCTCTCCTCTGCTGCCTGGCAGCTCTGCTCCAGCTCCCGCCTGGCCGCGCTCATCCATGCCAGCTCCTGCTCCAGGTGTGCCAACTGCTCTCGCAGGCCAGCTCGCTCCTGCTCCAGCTCCCGCCTCTGCTCCAGCAGCGAGCTCTTCTCCTCTTCCAGCTTCACCACACCCAAAAGCCAAAGAGAGGGCAGTGGGATAAGGGGCCGGCCCTGGGAGGAAATACCCTACAGACTTGACAAGAGTGAAGGGCAGGGGGGAGCTAGCCCGCTCTCAGGTGACATCAGAACAGCACAGCTGCCTGCTGTTAGAAGCTCAGCTGCAGAGACGACAGTTGCTGTTGCCATGGGGGATCCGTTCTCAGCCTGGGGATTTTCCCTGGATAGGGAACATATCCCCAACCCTAACTCAGACCTGGCGGGGCCTGGGGACTGCAATTCCTTCATGCCCGTAGAACTTGGAGGCTCTGATGGTCACACTAGCGGGACGTGACATCACAGTGGCTCCTGAGAGCTCAAGTGCCATAGGCTGAGCTGGCAAGGTACAGAAGCATGGTGAAGCCTTCTGCGTGGTGCGTAAGCAGGGTCCAGGCTCGTGGGGGGAGCTGGGCAGTGCTTGAAGTGCCTTGGAAGTTCTACCCGCTGTTGGCACAAGCAGTCGAGCATGGAACCGCTACGCTATCCCCCATGTCAGGCCTCCCTGAAGTAACATGCCCACGAAGATTACAAGCCCCGCTGGGACAGCGCTCATGAGGCTAAAACATTTCTGGCACAGCCCAGGGTTAGAGAGATTTGAAGCGAACGTCCCATGGCTCAGAACCGAGGGGGAACTGCTAAAGAGAGTGTGCTCCGGCTGTCTGCACTCCCCACACCAGCAGGTGGGAGAGGGCAAACCTCACCCACCAGCCTGGGTGCTCTGGGGCAGGGCTTCTCCAGGAGATGCTGACAGACGGTCTGTAGGTACTTAACTCCCACTGAATCAATGGGAGCTAGGTGGCTACATCCCTTCTGGGTCATGCCCTTCCTCTCTTTGGGCTTCCGCTTTCCAGTGGTAAAGGGGACAATGACATTTACCTTCTCCCACCCTCGTTTCTTTACCCGGTAAGCTCTTTGGCAGGTCCTGCTCCTGGCTGGGGCCTCTTGGTGCTACAGGAATGCCTCCCAATGGTAGGAATGGGCGACAGAGCGCAGTCCTGCATGGCTCGGTGCCCTGGGGTGGGGGCTCTGCCTTTGCCTGCTCTCCCACTGAGGGAGTTCCCAGCCACTAGAACAAGAGGGATGCTTTTCACTTGGCAGAGTAAGACGTTTCTGTTTTCCCTCCCCCCCTTCTCTCTGGATCCACCTAGCAGCCCTGGTGGGATGGGGCTGGATCCAGCAGGCCCTGGCATTGAAATCTGCAGCCAGGAGTGGGAGCTGAGTGGCTGGATGAGTGATGGGCACTTCTGGTACAGCCGGCAGCCCCTGCCCCAGGGCTGGAGGTGGCAAAGCCCTGAGATGAGGCTCCTAGAACACCAGCACAGGGGGTAAGGGCAGGCCAGCGAGAGAGGAGCTGAATGAGAGCAGGGAGGGGGGGATGCTCTGGTGGTGGAGGGGGGAGGGCCTGTGGAGAAGGGAGGGGCACAGCCCACTCAAAGGGACCTGACCCTGCCCACCCAGACACATGTACCTTGTAGCCAAGTTCAGGAACTGCCCCTTTCAAAGGGGTGAGAGGCACTTCCCTGGGCTGGGCTGGGCTGTGGTGATGCCCTGCAGCTGGCACATCTTGGCTGGGTACCTAACAGTGCTCTGGCATGGAATAACGGAACCAGCTTCTGTGGGCCAGTGCTGAGCGACAGAACGCAGGTCATGGGCTGGGGGTGGGCATGTGAGGGACACAGGGGCAGAGTGCAGGGCAGGAGTGTGTGGGGGTATGGGCAGAGGGGTGCAGAGCGCAGGACATAGGCTAGGGTGTTCGTGATGGGCACAGGGCAGAGTGTGTGAGGGGCACAGGGGCAGCGCACGGGGCAGGGGTGTGTGAGGGGCACAGGGGCAGCGCACGGGGCAGGGGGGTGTGAGGGGCACAGGGTGCAGGGTGGGGTGTGTGATGGACACAAGGGCAGAGTGCAGGACGAGGGTGTCTGAGGGACACGGGCAGAACGCAGGGCGTAGGTGTGTGATGGTCACAGGATGCATGGCAGGGGTGTGTGATGGGCACAGGGGCAGCACAGAGGACGTAGGTGGGTGCTTGGGTGGGGCTATGTGATGGACACAGGGGTAGCATGGAGGGTGTAGGCTGGGGTGTTTGTGAGGGGCACAGGGGCAGAACACATGTGAGGTGAGTGCAGGTGTTGAGTGGAGGCCATGGGCAGGTTAAAGTCTGTTACCTGCAGGAGAAGGCGGTTGAGGTTGACCTTGTCCTGGGCAAGACCTTCAGTCAGAGCCCCCATCTTGGCCAGTGAGTCTCTCAGCTCGGAGTCCTCTGATCTCAGTTTGTTTATGGCTAGTTCTAGCTCAGCACTCTTGGTCTTGGCCTGGGGAGAAGGGAGACCTCGGCACTTAAACACTGGCTGGGAGTTTTTCCAGCCACAGTGAAGTAAAACCTTCCTTGTTCCCAAGATTCAGGAGCCCCTGCTCCACTCTGGTGAAGAACTGAGGCGCAGTGCGAGGAAGTCTCTGGCCTGGGTTCTGCGATACACGCTGGGGTTGAAGCACTGATATCAGAAGAGGTTGGGATGCTCTGAGTTCATCTGGTGGGAAGCTAGTGGTCAGGCTACTACAGCTGCAGATCCCACTATGTGGTTCACAGGGAGCAGACCTGGGCAATCTGTGAGCCAAATCACACAGTCCTTCCTCATGCAAAACTCCCATTGAACTCACCCCAATGAGTGCCCAATGCCTCCTGCAACTCGTGTCCCGACAGCAGGGTACATCCCGATGGCACTGTTCAGCCCCCAGTTCACACTGGGATGCTACAGCTTTCTGGTCTTTGCAGGGCTGTATCAGACACTAACGAGATTTGTTACCAGCTTCCTACTGTCACTGCGGAGCCTCGGAAATTCTCAGCCAGGCCAAAGGCTACTGATGCATTAACGAGAATTCCTCCTGGGGGCTTGCCTCCCATGCCAGCTGTGCCACACTCGAACCCCATAGCTCATTTCACCCACAGACAAGACCAGCACATGGGTGCTAGCCCGGCCACTGTTACGAAGTGCCATAAATTAGACCTGCACATTCTTCCTGATGGACCCTTTGGGTGAGGTACACTCTGCTGGGTCAGCTAGCAATCCAGCAGACTGCACCTCCATTGATGGGGCTTCAGCCCCTGCAAAGGAATTGTTGACAGAGAGCTCTATATGATATTACTCATCGGGGTTAGGACATTTTTAAAAAGCTCTCCCACCCATTCTACCCTCAGCTCACTGCTAGTTGCTCTCCAGGATTTCCTAGAAGAGTGAACACTATTGAGTGAGACAGGGAAACCCTTCTTTCCTGGGAAAAAACATGTTCCCCAGTCGGGACATCTCCTACCCCACTGAAGATGAAGTGGATCTGACAGTTGTTGTAACGCAGTGCTATTATGATGTGGCAAGTAATATACTAGTTTGGAAAAGTTAGTACCTCTGAAAATGCTGCCTAACAGAATTCTTGGTGCATGGATTTAGCTCTGGGCAGATCATTCTGCTATCGTCACAGAGATGGCTGCTGCTCAGTAGTTATTCACTGGAGCCCAGTTTAACACCCACTGACTTCAACAGGCATTGGGTCATGTCTGTGGTGGGCATGTTATTTCCAAGCAAAGAAATTAACTTGTAACATATTTTCCATTTTGAAATATCAGCTCCTAATAATGTCATACCATGCACTGGCATCTCACCCGCCACTCTACCAGAGCCCTGTCCTCCCATCCCCTATGGCTGTGTGAGAAACTAATGCCAATGGGCAAGGTCTTTGTGCCTTCCGCTTACCATACAATTTAGCCGGTGTCACTCCTGCCTTCAGGCTGGAAGACTGGGTGGGATTTCAACACAGCCTCAGTGACTTCGGAGTAGGGCGGGGTGAATAACTGATTATTCATTTTGGTTCCAAAAAAAAAAAGGAAAAAAAATTGTTTCGGGTTGACCCGAAAATGAAATTTTTTGACAAAAAGAAAAGTGGGGGAAAAATTCATTTTCAGTCAATGAAACATTTCATTTGCATTTTGAATGTTTCACATTTTTTAATCTTTTAAAAATTAAATTGAACAAAATTTCTAAATGAAAACAATTCAAAAAAATCAAAATGTTTCACCTCAAAAATGTTGAAATGAAATATTTCAACTTTTTCAAAAGGAAATTTTTCAGGCCCAAGCAATTCAGCATCGCTGACACAAATCTGTGAATCATTTTGGTGTCACCAAATCTGCATTTTTTTGCTGAAACAAGTTTCAGCCAAAAAACCCATCTGGTTCTACTTAGGAGCCCAAGTCTCACTGAAAGGAAATGGGACTCATACTCCTAAAGCAGGTGGGTGGTTTTGAAAATCCCACTTCCATGGATTCAGGTCTCCTACTACAGGAGTTGGGTTCATGGTCTGTGCTGATAATGCACTTCAGACCCAGAGTGATGCTGTAGTTCATACCAGATACATTAGCATTCCATCAATCAAGTTCTAGTGGGCATCCAGGTGGGAAGTAAGGATCCACTGGCATTTTCCCACTGGAGAGGGGATCACAGGTTGATGACCCCAGGCCCAGGGCTCTCTGGGTGATAAGTTACAGCTGTTCTGTTTGCCTGCCAGCCACTGCCTGGCAATAGGATCTAGCTCATCACTTCTAAATGCTTTTGGAAAAGCTGAGCATGAACAGTGCTGTACAAACCCAAACTCGGTTCCCCAGAGGAGGTGAACTGACAGGAGAAGTAGCGGTGATGTAGATGAGGAAAAATGCCTTCAGTAAGGGAACAGACTGGCCTGTGAAGTTCATGAAACAGCTGATCACTAGCCAAGCTCCTAGGACACCATCGCCATTCTTACTTTAGACAGAGCACAGCTTACACATTCCTTCTCATTCTCCAGCACGTCCTTCTCCAGGACGGCCTGGTTCAAGGACTCCTTTACCACCACCAGCTCCTTCTTCAAGGCTGAGGTCTTCTCTTCTAATTGCTCCAGGGACCTCTGCCTGCAGGAGTCACGCAAAAGGGAGGAAAATGAATTCTCCAGCAAAGTCTAGGGCCTTACTTCTCTGCTGGCCTGCGCCGTTTGCCACCCGAGTGCCGTGTGGCTGTGAACGCTGCCATTCTGATCTGGGAGGAGTTTACGCTGCCTTTGCATCGTTGTAAATGACTAGCCGGGCTTACTCCCCCATGGCAATGAAACCTACAGTCAGGTACATTGTGAGCAGCTCCCCAGCCACGCCTGCTTCACTGCTACCCTTCAGTCGAGGCTGCGCCTCAGGCCTGCCTCACTCCAGTGTCAGGTGAGCATGGCTCCGAGTGGGTTCCCAACCTGGAGGATGCTGGGCCATCTCCCCCAGCACTGTCCGTTACATCAGCGTGGAGTGGGGAATCTGCACCCCCCTCTCCCAAGCGGGACTGCCCTGCACGCCATAGTAACATGGGCAGATGTGAGGCACCTCACCCTTGCTCCAGCTCCTTTCGCACTCTCTCCCGCTCCTTTGCCAGCTCCTCCTTCTGCTCCTCCAGGAGGCTTTGCTGCCTCTGCAGCTCCATGGTGCGTGTCCTCAGCCTTTCCACCTCCAGACGGGAGGAGTCCACCTGCTCGCTCAGACTTCCCACTGCGGCCTCTCTGGTCTCCTTCTCCCTGAGGGGGGAAGGGAAACTGTGAGTCACCAATCTGGCCCTGTGATAACGTCACCCACATCAGTGGTGGGCCTCTCTGCCCCCCCAGTGGCTGGACCAAGTAAGAGTCCTGGATTCCCCTGCTGCTTCCAGAGCAACGGTGTAAGAAGTTTAGCACAGGCTAGCCCCACGAGTAATTACCCAGCACCCTGGGCAGGCCTGTACAATGTGTACTGCTGCAGCTTTGCTGCTCCGGTACCTGAGCAGCATGGGGATGTCTGCTTGACTGCTGTCACACCCCATTATTGCAGTGAAGACATCCCCTTGGATTTAGGCTCAATCCCAGCTGATAACACATCCAGGGGCCCATGACAATGACACAGAATTAAATGTTGGAGCAATCAGCATCCACCAGTTTCACCCTGGAAAAAAGGGTGGTGCACAAGCCAGACATAAGAGAACGATGCATGCCAGCACTGCGCAGAGCAGCCATTTCTCCGAGATCCAGGATCAGTGAGGTTTCTGGGCTCCCCAGAACAAAGGAAGAACCTACAGAAACATCCTCATGTCTCAGCCCTGTTGTGCAGATCGCTCCGAGTACCCAACACAACGAAACCACGCAGGGTAACTTTGTTGAAACATCCTGGCTTCAATCTCTTTGCTCTTCCCATCAGGAATTTCAGTGGCATGACTGTTCTGAACCTTCTCTCACAGGCTGGTGACTAGAGGAGGCAGGTGGGAGGGTCTGCGAGGATGCAACATCTGGTGGAGTCACATCTGGAGCCCCAGTCCTCAGACTGGAAGCTCCTCAGAACCTTCTACTTGCATGGAGGACAGGACTCATTCTCCTCTCTGCCTGCTCACCAGTCCATGTCTGTATACATCATTGGGTCTCATTATCTATGTCTCCTTAAAATGGAGAGCTGCTCACAAATGGATGTTGAAACGTGTTTCACAAATTAATCTGAAATTTTCCTTTTTTTGTCAAAAACAAACAACAAAAATAATTTTTTTGTTTTGTTTTTTGAAACAGGAAGCTGAGGTTTTGGTGTTGGAGGTTTTTTCCCTTTCTCTCCCCTTTTTCCCTTTTTCCCCATATGGGGGAAGGAGAAAAAAAAGGAGAGAAGGGGAAAGAAAGAAATCAAAAGCCCAAAAGCTGAAACAATTGGATTTTGTTGGTTAAAAACCCAGAAAATTAATAAAAGAAAACAAAACTTTTCAGTGAAAATGTTCATTTCCAAAGACAGCCATATTTTTGTCCAATAAAAGTTTGGAGCAAAAAGTTTAGACCAGCTCCAGTAATATGAGCAGTCTGAGTGAGCCCAAAAAGCCAGAGACCTGCAATGGGGCAGTTCCCTTTCGCTTGGACTGAGACTCCAAAGGCTGAACATCTGCAGGGGTTGTTTAATCCTGAACACAGCACTATGGAGTGACACCCTTTCCAATCTGGGCCATACCACAGGCTTGTCACGTGCATTACTCTTGGGGGTGGGAGAGTGACTCCGTCCTCAGCCAGGCCACCCCAGGGGTATGGTGGCTCCTGACAGTAATTATCAATCCCCCCTATCCTGCTCCCATGTGCACCTGCTCAGAATCTCCACTGAGGATTTACAGTGCTGCAAGTCCCGCCTGCAATCCTGTAGGGCTCTGGCCAGCTCCTCACGCTCCTGCCTCTGCTCCTGCAGCTGCTGCTCTGCCACCTGCACCTCCTGCTGGCAATCGGACAGTTGCTTCCTGACGGCCCCCAGCATGTCCCGGGCGGACTCCAGCTGCAATTGCAATTCCTAGCCACAGAATGGAAAATAAGGCACAAGGGTAAAGAGCATATTGCACGCCACTTCATATGGCACAGCGCACGCGCCACACGCACAGGGACAGAGCCCTGCTATCCTGGTGAGTGAGTGAAGGGTAGATCCTGTGACGCAGGTACCTAACTTACTCAAGGCTGTGTCACATAGCTTAAACTCATCCCTGCCCTCCAACCCCTGAGCTAGCAGCTGTGCCTTGCTGACTTTCTCCCCTCCAAGGAGCAGCCTGATGCCGCTTTCAAACCAGGCCCACACAATAAGCTGCACTGGCTGAAGGGCTGCAAGGGCTGCTCCATCTCCCAGACCCTCCCCTGTGCCCCAGTGTTACATCCCCTCACCCTCACGGCATGGTGGTACAACCACTACTAGGGTTACCATATTTCAATCCTGCAAAAAGAGGACACTCCACGGGGCCCCGGCCCCAACTCCTGCCCCTTCCCCAAAGTCCCCGCCCCAACTCTGCCTCCAGGGTGACCAGAGCAAAAAAACAAAAAAACCCAACCCCAACCCCCCCCCGCATTCCTCCTCCCTCCGCAAGCGCTAGAGGGAGGCCCGGGAGACGCAGGGGGAGTGCGGGGCCGGGGTGAGTGAGTCCGGCCTGGCCCCGAGCGCAGGCAGGACTTGGGCAGAACCTGGAGGGAGAGTAGGGGGGCGGCCTGTGGGGCCAGGCGGCGGCTGTTCGTTCTCCCCACCTGAGCAGTGGGACTCAGGAGCAGCCGCTGCTGCAGCTCCCACTGCCGCGGGGGGGAGGAAGCGGCCAAGCACGTGGCGCTCGGCGGCTGCGGCTCTGGTGCCCGGGCCCGAACCCTCCGAGCCCGGGCCTGCT